ATGGCTAACTAGAGGTGCCTGGTGCTTGCCCCACCCCCACACAAATGAATTGAAACAACCAATAAACTACTACATTTTGCCCAGAGAGAATGGGGAAATACATTGGAGAGCACCAAAGGAGCAGTAAAATGCCTGTGGATCACAGATGCCCAGTATAGCACCATAAAGAGGAGAGAGAGGCATCTTGCTTCTGCCTCACTCTATCCCGTACTAGAATTGGTCAGGGTCAGGGGAACTACTTGGTATGGGGAAAAGGTAAGTTGGAGATCCCCAGCAGTTCCTATTGCTTCTGCAAACACCAGCAGTCCTTGCTACAGGAGAATCCCCCAGTCCTCACAGGCCCCAACGTCAGTTTGAAGAGTAGCCAGTTCTCGCAGATGCGTTGCTTTAGAGTTGAATCCCACTTTGAGCACTCCCCATCCTGGCTACCTAAGCTGCTACAGTTTGAGGCCATCTTGAAATTGAACCCACTTTGAGAATGTGTCTTACATCTGATTCACTACATTCCTGAGGCCCCACTCTTCTTACAGCATGTTTGCACAGGTGTCTGTAGGACCATGACCGGTTTGCTTAGAATCTAGGCCAGACAGAACATCTGAAATCCTCGAGTCTAAATCCATTCAGCACATGAACACTCTAGGGAACAGGTAGAACTGCATAGTAGGGAAGCTGCTGCACAGCTGGCTACCTCATGGAGACTGCAGGCACCTACACCCAGCCCAGTGATTGGTCTGTGGGAGGGCGGGTCAATTATCCCCACAGACAGATAGCTGCTCAGACCTTTTGTACCACATGAACCCATCCCTGGCCTGACATCCCTACCCCAACCTGGTAGAGGGCACTATGTCCCTACAGAGCCTACTAGACAGCCTGGTGGCCATCCATGCCCACCTGCCCAACAACCAGCCCAGTGCTCCCTCCCCCCCAGCAAAACTACACAGTCATCATGACTCAAGTCACTGAAGCAATTACAGACATTGCTGACGAGGATCACAGCTGAAGCAACTACACAGAGATCACGGTACGGAATCCACCTAGAGCCAAAGTCAATGTGCCATATGCAATCAATACCTTAGAACCTGTCTGCAAAAAGAGTCTCTCCCTCTGAAGGCTACTCTATAAAATTGGAAAAAGCTACTGTTCCACTGGATGTGCAGATATCAATGTAGGGACATAAAGAACATGAAGGAAGGAAATGTGACGCCCTCAAAGGTACATAATAAGTTTCTGGTTAAAAAATATCTCACAAAGAACAATTATGAAATGCTTGAAAGGATCAATTTCGCAAGAGGATATAACAATTATACATATGCACCGAACACTGGAGCACCCAAATATATAAATCAAATAATATTAGACCTATAGAAGATACAAATGCAATAATAGTAGAGGACTTCAACACCCCAGTTTAAACAATGGATAGATGATCTAGACAACAAAATCAAAGAAACATCACACTTAAACTGCCATAGATCAAAGGTACCTGACTGACATTTATAGAACATTGAATTCAACAGCTGCAGAATATTCATTCTTCTCAAATGCATACAGATCATTCTTCAGGATAGATCACATGTTAGGCCACAAAACAAGTCTTAATAAATTTAAGAAGATTGACATCATTTATCACAGCAAGTATCTTTTCTTACCACAGTGGTAATCAACAAGAAAAATTTTGGAAACTTTACAAATACATAAAAATTAAACATTGTGTTTCTAAACATCCAATGGGTCAATGAATAAACTAAGAGGGAAATAAAAAATTTCCTTGAGAGAAACAAGAATGGAAATACATCATATCAAAATCTATGTGACAGCAATAGCAATTCTAAGAGGGGAGTTTATAACAACAAATACCTACATCAAAAAAGACGAAAGATTTGCAATAGACAACCTAACAATCTACCTAAAAGAACTAGAAAAACAAGAACAAATTGACCAACCTAAAATTAGTGGAAGTTAGAAAATTATAAAGCTAAGAGTAGTAATAAATGAAATAGAGATTAAGGAACAATTCCAAAGGACAACAAAATGAAGAGTTTATTATAAAGATAAACAAATTGATAAACTTTTAGGCAAAGTAAGAAGGAAATAGAGAAGTCTCACATAAATAAAATTAGAGATTGAAAGGGAGACCTTACAACTGATATTACAGAAATAGAAAGTATTATAAGAGACTATTATGAAAAATTATACTGCAACAATAGAAGAAATGGACAAATTCCTGAACACATACAAACCATGAACATTAAATCATGAAGAAATAGAAAATCTGAACAGACCAATAACAAGTGAGGAAATGGAATCAGTAATAAAAAGTCCTCGATCATAAAAAAGCCCATGCTCTGATGGCTTCGCTGCTGAATTTTACCAAACACTTAGAGAAAAATTAATATCAATTCTCCTCAAAATACTCCAGAAAATAGAAGAGGAGGGACTATTTCCAAACTCATTTTGTGAGATCAGTATTACCGTGGTTCCATAACCAAACAAGGCTACAACAAGAACAATAATAATAATAAAAAAAAAAACTTCAGGCCAATGTCTGATAAACATAGATATAAAAATTCTCAGCAAGATAATAGCAAACCAAATGCAAGAGTACATTAAAAAGATTGTTCACCATAATGGGGATTATGGTGTGAATCACCAGGTGGGATTCATCCCAGAGATGCAAGAATGGTTTAACATATGACAATAAATGTGATATACCACACTAACATAAAGAATGACAAAAAAACATGATCATTTTAAAAGATTCAGAAAAAGCATTTAATAAAATTCAATAGTCCTTCATGTTAAAAAAAAAAAACAACAACAAAAAACTCGTGACCAATTAGGTATTTACCTTACCCCAATGAAGTTCATATGTGACAAATCCACAGCTAACATACTGAATGAGGAAAAGGTAAAATCTTTTCTTCGAAGATCAGGAACAAGAGGACACCTACTTTCACCACTTCTATTCAATATAGCACTGGGTTTCCTAGCAAGAGCAATTAAGCATCAGAAAGAAATAAAAGGCATTCAAATTGGAATGGAGGAAGTCGAATTATCCCTGTTTGCAGGCAAAACACTAAAACACAACCTGACCAAAATATAATACAAAGTATCACATGTACCCTCAAAATATGTGTATCCATAAAAATAAATAGATATTCCACACACACATAGATATATGTGTGTATCTATACACACACACACACACACACATATATATATATATTACAATGCTTTAGAAACCAGAAGAGCATGGTACTGTTATAAAAATAGACACATAGATGAATGCAACAGAATAGAGACTCCAGAAATAAATTCATACACCTATATCCAATTTATTTTTGACAAGGATGCCAACAACATACATTGGGGAAGACTGTCTCTTCAATAAATGGTGCTGGGAAAATTTGATATTCATTTTCAGAAGAATGAGACTAGATGCCCAGCTCTCACCATGTAAAAAAATCAACTCAAAATGGATTAGAGACTGAAATGTAAAACATGAAATTATTGGAAGAAAACAAAGGGGTAATGCATCATGATATTTATTTTGATAAAGACATTTTCAATAAGACCTCAAAAGTACGGGCAACAAAAGCAAACATATAAATGGGATTATATCAAAATAAAATGCTTTTGCACGATGAAGGAAATCATTAACAAAGTGAAGAGACAACTTATAGAATGGGAGAAAATATTTGCAAACTATACATTTTCTATATCCAGAATATACAAAGAACTTATCAATAAATAGATAAATAACCTGATTAAAAAATGAACAAAACACCTTATATATTTTCAAAAGAAGACATAAAAATGGTCAACAGATAAATTAAAAATACTAAACATCCCTAATCATTTTGGAAATGCAAACCAAAACCACAATGAAATACTACCTCACTTGAGTTAGAATGGCTGTTATTAAAAAAGAGAAAACAAGTATTAGGGAAGATGTGGAGAAAGGGAAACACTATTTATAGATTGTTGACTAATATAGCCATTGTCAAAAACAGTATGGAGATTCCTCAAAAAAATTAAAAATGGACCTGCCATATGATCCAGCAATCTCACTACTGGTTATATTCAAAGGATATGAAATCAGTATGTCCAAGAGATCTCTGCACTCTCATGTTTAATTGCAGGACTATTTACAATAGCTAAGATATGGAGTTAACCTAAGTATTCAACAGTGAATGAATGGATAAAGAAATAGTGGTGTATATACATTATGGAATAACTATTTAACCACGAGAAAGAATGAAATCTTGCCATTTGCATCAAAATGGGTTAACCTGAGGACATCCTGTTAAGTGAAATAAGGGAGGCACAGAAAGATAAATACTGCACAGTTTGACTCATGTGGAATCTCAGAACAAAATAAAGTTGGTATTATATAAGCAGATTGTAGAACAGTGGTTACTAGAGACTAGGGATTGTAGGTGGAGGAGAAATATGAGGAGAGGTTGCTCAACAGGTACAAAGTTACAATTTGATTGGAGCAATAAATCCTAGTGTTTTATTGCACAGTGAGTTGAATATGGTTAACAGTAAAATGTTTCATATTCCAAAATAGCTAGAAGAGAGCCTTTTTTAAATGTTCTCACCACAAAGAAATGAAAAATACATGAGGTGATGGGTACAGTAACTACCTCGATTGGATCATTATACGTTATTTGTTAACATCAAATTGTACCCCATAAAAATGTACACTTTCAGTATGTCAATTAAAAAATATATAAATAATAAATTTTAAAATTCTCTTTTCACCTTGGAAACTATATGTACACTGTCTACACAATACAACATTTCAGAATTATACTGAATAATTAGTTGATATAATGTTCCAAACCCCTTTTGTAATAAAATAATTATCATGCTGCTTTGCAATCGTATTTGTGGCTTATTTTGACTGCTATTTACTTATCAAATGTGTGTAGTTTCTTACATTTGATTTTAAAGGGTTTGTTGCATTCTTTTCCATGATTTTTCAGAGCTCGGATGTAAAATCATTTTTGGAGGAGACGTTGCCAATTTTATACTGAAGCCAATAACAAAATAGGATATACAGGACAAATATTACTTCACAGGTAAATTTTGTTGTTTAAAATACTATGTTTTCAGTATCCATCTCTATTGTTTATACCAGAATATTCAGAATATGATGAGTGGCTGAAAATGAATCTGGATTCTCTCCTACTCCTAGGCAGTCATTAACTGATAACTTTAGAAATGTAATGAGGAACTCAAGCTAAAAAAGAAACATAAAGTTTCTAACTTCAGTTTTGTGTGGATTTTCAGAAAGAGGCAAAAGGGATTTGCAGGTTTGGCTTTTGCTCAAGTTACATTTAACATGTTGGTATGAGAACAAATGTGACAATTAAAAACAACCAAATGGTTACCTAGTTTAGAGAGCAGAAAGGGAAAAAATAGAAAGTAACACCTTCTGTAGAAGAAAAAGAACAAATGGCAACGCTAGATATGGAATTGCATCAACATAGTTCTTTTTCCAATATAAAATGCCTTGGAAACTAGCAACAAGTAATACCAACTCCACAGAATATGTTCTCCCCTTTTCTTTCTCTACCTTATAAAAAGACTAGCAGGTAATTCAGGCATCTTGTGCACTTTGGCTTTTCCTTTTCTTTCCTTCAGCCAGTTGGCTTGTTATTGTTATTTGCTCATTGCCACCATTTCCCTATGCACCAGTACTTACCCTTTCTTTTAACAGATGCATATTGTACTCATGAGACCACATTTTGCTGTGAATGTATCATAAACCAACAATTTTGAGTCTATCTTTATTCTTTATCTTTATCTGGTGTTTCACAAATTGTGGCCTAGGAAATATCTGCAGGGTATTAAAATGAAATACCCTGAAATATCCTGGTATGAAATATCCTGGTATGAAATATCCTGGAGTATTTCATAATTCTTAGGCTCCACCCTAGATTTAGTATATCAGTATCTTTGAGGGTGGAGCCTTGTAAATCACTTTCCTAGTGCTTAAACTAAAATTGGAGATCCACGTCACCCAATGATCATTTTTTTAAATGTAATGTGATTCAAATTGCTGATACTTCCCTCTTCCAGAGACTGTTTTAACCACAAGAGGGACAGATGAGAAGAGTGGAAAGCTCTGGGCTAGATTCTGGAAGACAAGAGAGCAAGTCCTGTTTCTAATACTCCCAGAGCATGTGATCTGGCTTTTAGTCTTTTCATTTGTAAGAAAGGACTAACCCACCTGTCCCGGCCAGCTCACTAGGCTGATAAGAAAACAAAATGTAATGGGAAGTGCTTTGCTAACTATAATTTCTACACAAGTTTGAAGTCATATCATATTATTTTGGTTATACTTTATACCATTTTCTGAAGGCTGCCTCAAAGACAATGAAGAGAGAATTTAGTAGAAGAAAGAATATATATTTTAGATGAGAGTTTAAGACCATGTAAATTATTATTAACATGGGGTTTCCCTAGATGAATTCTAACTAGTTCCATTAAATGTAGTCATTGCTCCATTCATGCTAAATGTGCCAGCTGTCATGCTAGTTGTTAGAGATTCAGTGTGGAAAATGATATTATTCTCTCCCTGGATCACAATTACATGTGGGGAGATAGACACATGAGTCATTAGAAAACAATGTGCCTAGAAATAGCCAAAATAGGCAGGAAACAAATAAGCATGAAAGCCACGATGGGTTCATTGATGTTTTCATTCAGGAGGAGATATTTGAGTTGTGCCTTTTAGGATGTGTAGATATTCACTGGCCCTTTAAGGTAGGAAGGGCTTTTGGGAAAAGGGCAGAGTATCAGAAAAGGCCTGTAGGTCAGAGTACATGCTCCTTGGAACTTCATCTGTGGAAAACCTTTGAGGTCTGGGTTGAAAATGCATTCCTCCAGTATACAACAGTAACATGCATACTTATGGATCTTAATATTCATAAGATCCATATGACTTGGGGAGCATGTGGAGTAATCTAGATGGGTAAAGCTTAGGGAATTTTGTGGTTACAGGTGATTTCATGACTTGCTATTAATGCTAATTAATGGTGTGATTCCTCTAGTTTCTTTGTTATTAATAAATGGAGACTATAAGAATAATTTGCAGGATTGTTTTCAGAAATAAGTGTCAAACAATAGTACACATACAATAATTATTATTACTGGTAGTAGTATAAACTCAATGTTTGGGATAAACTCAATGGTTGGGATTCTATCTAAATAGTATAAAAGAAGGAAGAATAGGTTAAAACTCACTGCTTCTCAACCCCTGAACACATAGACTGGATATAAACAATATGTGTTCAGGACTACAGATGTGGTATGGGTTCCAGAAATGAGATAAATTTTATTATTAAAGACCAGACCACTTAACATAAAAACATAAGAAACTCTGAGTCCTAGAATCTGCCCACAGGCTTGATATTTTTAAACTGTTAGTCAACTATCAGCAAACCTGACTTGACATCTACACATGTATCGACCAGAATCTATATATGCCTTTATTCTTCATCTGCTCAATATGTTTATTGAATTCCTATTATGTTCCAGGCATGAGATAAGCACTTGGGGTACAATAGTGAATAAAATCGTAACTGTCTCTGCCATCATAGTGTTTTCATTAAATCTATGCACATCATTAATGCATATTTGTTTCAATAATATTTTAGTTTGAGAAGTAATGTATGATAGTTTTTTGGAGCACCACCTTTGGCATCAGAGATGTACTGGATTAAATTCCATCTTTATCGATTTACAGTTCTGTGACTTTTGGAAAGTAGTGTCTTCTTAGACTAAATTTATGCATTTGAAAACTGGATAATTATCTCATGTAGTATTTGTGAGGATTAAATGAGGCAGTTCATGTGAGGCACTTAGTGTAATATTAGCATGTATATAATAAACATTCCATAAATATTAGTTATTGATTTTAGATACAATTCTTTTCAGAAAGACCCCACCTAGGTATCTTTTTTGTGCAGTAGAGCAGCCTAGAAATCTTGAATAGTTATTTTATTTTTATTTATTTTTTTAATTTCAGCATATTATAGGGCTATAAAGATTTTGGTTACATATATTACCTTTGCCCTACCTGAATCAGAGCTACAAATGTGCCCATCCCCCAGACAGTGCACACCATACTCATTAGGTGTGTATACACCCATCACCTCCTCTCCCCTCCCACCTGCCCGATTACCATATGTGCACACACACATGTTGGTCAATTAGTCAGCCACAAAAAATGATGGTTAACTAGCACCTCTTGAATAATTCTTTTGTGGCAAAACAACATAGAACGTTGGATAAAATATATTTATTAATAATTAGTTATTTCTATTTGCATAGCTTTGCTGGCAAGAAAGGAAGAAATACACTTAAAGGCCAAGACTGAAGGTAAAGCAAAATCTAGAAAGGTAAGTAAATGTAAAAGATACCTTTCACTCTGGAAGCATCTTTAAACCCTGATCACCTTGAGCTTTAATGTTTAAGATCATTTGGTCCAGGGACCTGGGTACAAAGCCCAATATTCATTCAAAGATGGGAAATTTGTGGGATACCCTGGGAAAAATTTTAGATGTCATTGTAAGGGTTCAAGACCTTCATTGTAAGGATGTGCAAGACAAAAAAAATTCTATCTCACAGAAAAGGGCAGAAAGGAATCTTGTCCACCTTAATCACAGCACAGACAGGGTTGAGTGGAAGAAAAGGTACTTCTTTAGCGTTGTTATACAAAACGTGGACTTTGGGAAAATTTGGTGTTCGAAATCACACTTTCTATGTGTTCTGAAAAACCTCCTGGTGAGAATTCATTTCATAATAGTTACAGGTTGGATTATACCCTAAGCATTTAGCAATGTCAAACTCAAATTTTCTTTGGAGGAACCCATCTTCAACCCAGACCTCAAAGATTTTTCACAGATTAAGTTCCAAGGAGCATGTATTTATATTCAAAAACCAAACAACACACAGGGTTACTGTTTGGGTTGCCAAAATTCATATGTTGAAGTCCTAACCACAATACCTCATAATGTGACCTTGTTTGGAACTAGCATCATTTCAGATGTAATTAGTTAAGATGAGGTCATACTGGAGAAGTGTGAGCCCCTAATCCAATGTGACTGGTGTCCTTATGTAAAAAACTCTGTATGAAGAGAAAGAGACACTTACAAAGGGAATACTACATAAAGACAAAAGGAGAACACCATCTATCAGGAAAGCCAAAGATCACCAGCAAACCACCAAAAGCTAGGAGATAGACATGGAACAGATTCTCCCTCATAGCCCTCAGAAAGAACCAACTTTGCTGACACTTTGATCTCAGGTCTGTAGCCTCCAGAACTGTGCAGAATAAATTTCTTTTTTGTAAGTTGCTCAGTCTATGGTATTTTGTTGAAGCAGCCCTAGAAAACTAGTACACACATGAATCACTTTTAGGGCAAAATGTCTCCCCTACTCCTGATGTTTTCTGCTAAGGAAAGTTATCTTTGCTGGTGTTACACTCCTGGCATCTTTCTGCCCATCAACTTATTCTGAAGTGGGGAGTAAGGTTGTTGGAGTAGCTTACCTGATTGGAATATTTGAAGAAAATACCTAGGCATGCTTAGCTCAGTAACATTCTTCTTCCTTGTAGGAGTGACTTGCTCACAGGAAGATGTTTTGCTCTGCTTCCCCAAAGATTAACAAATTCTCTTGGTTAACAAACCTAAATTCATGCCTATCAGTCATAAAGATGATGTTTTGTCTTCTTTGGTCACTCTGTTATTTTATTTATCAATCTGCCCAGAAGCTCAGTGTGGAAAAGATGTGAATATTTTTGAGGACCTCTCACAAGCCAGGATAGGCACCATTAGTTCAAGCCAGCAAAAACAACAGGCAGCAGAATAAAACCTGACAGATACTCTAGGCATTGGAATTATTAAATATAAGATACAAAATACTTAGAAGTATTATATTTGGGAAAGGGATATGAAATTGAGGGCATGATGAAGAAAAGAGACCATGGAAAGAGCCATTTTCAGAAAAACAAGAAGTGAGACACATTAGCAGCCACAGATTCTCCTACCAGAGAAGACTCTAAAGTATATACTTCAGGTCAAAAAGAAATTATCCCAGAAAGAGTTACTCAGCCGTCAGTAGAAATCCTGAGTCAAGAAATAGGTAAATTTGTGCATATATCTAAACAAACATTGACTTCATAAATCTTAACAATAATGCCCAGTTTGTGGGGTCAACTAAGCCAAAGCAGATCTAAAATCTGGAAATATAGCATGTTGCTTTTCAGAAGATGATAGGAGTTAAGTGTTTTAAAGTCATGGCATTGTTTGAAGGAGCATAAAGAAGTTGATTAGAATTCAGTCTTTTTTATGTATGCATGTTAGCATTTTAGGGAGATATAAAATAAGACCCCCCAAACCCTAATCAATCCAATGTAAGGTAAGAAAAAAGGGGATTAAAAACACCAGTAGAAAAAGTAGGATAAATGAAAACCAGCATCTAAGGTGGTAGTTATAAATCCTAATTATACCTGTGACCACTGTACATTTTAATGAATTAAAAGATCCAGTTAAAAGACAATATTTTTCAGACCACGTAAAAAATAAAATACAGCCATATGTTGCTGAACAAGACATATGAGAATTATAATGGCACAGGAAGGCCAAAATTAATAAACATGAAAAGATATATTAGGCAAATACTAACAAATGAAAGCCAGTATATCTAAGCTGGCAAAAAAAAAATTCACTAAATATGTAGGTATATGAAAACCATAATTAAAAAGTTTGATCTAATGGGCTTAGCAATTAAAAAATAAAATACATGTTATTTTCAACTGTATGCACAAAGTTTACAGAATTGACCATGTGCTAAGCCATTAAGCAAGTCTTAAATTTACAGAACAACTATCATGTAGATCATATCATTTCATTATAATTCAATTTAGTTAGAAATTAGAAGGCATTAAAAGCCTAAATAAATTGATAAAGGATATAAAGGCTTGATATCATACATACGCCAATTCTTCCTAAATCTAGCTTCAGAGTTCTTGCATTTCAAATCAAACCTGAAAAGGATTGTGTGTTTGTGTGTGTGTGTTTGTATGACTTGAGTATTTGATTCTAAGGTTCATGTAGAAGAACAAATGGCAGTCATGGCCAAAACTCTAATGACAAAGAACGATGGGTTTGGGAGGTTTTGCATTAACAGATATAAAGATCATAATAAAGCAATAATCAATAAGATAGTGTAGCATTTGTTTAGGGATAGACAAATAGTCCTATGAAACCGTACAAATCTTCCAGTAATGGACCATAATGTATACAGAAAAGATTCTTCATAGGTCTGGTATTGGCGCTCGCTGGGTAAAGTATGGAATATCCAGCAAATTATGCTTGGACTGTTGATTATTCAGAAAAACAGAAACTGTATTATACTCAAAATCAATTTTAGATTGATTAAAGGCAAATATGACATGCAAAACTTGAAATATGACAACTTATGTAAATGAAAGGATTTCTTAAATAAGATACCAACAATGTAACTGAAAAAGAAAAATTGATAAATTTGACTACATAAAAATTAAGACACCATAACTAAAGTGAGACAAGAAGTCATATATTGGGAAAAGATACAGCAATAAGAAAAGGAGAAACAATTTAATAAAAGAGCAAACAAATTAAACAATCATTTCCTAGAAGGGGAACTCAAAACACCAATACATATATGAAAAATGCAAGAGCAACCTAATTGGGAAATACAAACTAAATGTGATGCCACTTTAAACATATTGAATTCATTTAAAAAGTGAAAGAGCTGATATGGAATATTGGTAAGTATGTGGAGCAATCAGAGATTTTATATACCATCGATAGGAGTGAAAAGTTGTAGAACAATTTTGAGAAACAATTTGGCATTGTTTTGTAAAGATACATATATACTGCAATTCCACCGCTGAATACTGTCTAGAGAAATTTCTTACACCCTTTCATAAGAATTTGTTTGTAGTAGTAAAATAACAAAAATAAATACTAAACAACTATATGGCCATAACTTGAGAAGAGATGGGAAAAATCCAGTTTGGCATATTATAGCTTGGAATAGTATACAGCTTTAAAAAGAATGAACCACATCTACAGGCAATAATATGGAGGAACCATATAATTTTAAAGTCAAGTAACAATACCAAAGCAAAACAATACCAAATCTCAGAGGATTACCTAAAGCATGATTACATTTATTTTAAGTTAAAAATCTTACAGAATTAAAACAACATAAGAAATATGGATACAAACGTGGTAAAGGAATGCATTGGAATAATAAAAAGCAGTGTAGTAGTTACTCAGGGAAAAGAATGTGCTTTGGGGGGCATAGCGTTCGGGAGAGACATAGCAGAGAGCTTTAATATTCAATGTGAATTTTGTAAGTTAGGCAGTGAGTAAACAGGGATTGGATTAATTGTTATGTTTGTGTGCGTGCATTTTCACACATGTATGTGTGCTTGCACGTGTGTGTTATTTTAATTAATACATTTTATTTTTTAGAGCAATTTAAGGTTCACTGCAAAACTGAGTTAGAAATACAGAGGGTTCCCATAAACCCTCTGTCTTCATGCATGCCCCGTCCTCTCCACTGTTGACAGCCGCACTATTGACATCCCGCACCACAGTGGTACATTTATTACGTCAATGAACCAACGTTCATTGACATATCATTATCACCCAAAGTGCAGAGTTTCCATTAGAGTTCAGTCTTGGTGTTGTACATTTGGATTTGGACAAATGTATAATCACACATATGTACCAGTGTGGTATCATATAGAATAGATCACCGCTCTACAATTCTTCTGTGCTCCAATTATTCATTTCCCCCCAATCCCTCACAAGTACTAAAATTCTTACTATCTCTCTAGTTTTGCCTTTTCCTGAATGTCATATAATGGAAAGTATAAAGTAAGTAGGCTTTTCAGAGTAACTCTTTTCACTTAGGAATATGCATTTCAGTTTCCTCCATGTCTTTTTATGGCTTAATAGCTCATTTCTTTTTAGCATTGAGTAATATTCCATTATCTGGATGTTCTACAGTTTATCCACTTGCCTGCTTAAGGACATTGTGGTTACTTCCCAGTTTTGGAAATTATGAATAAAGCCACTATGAACATCCCCATGTAGGTTTTTTTATGGACTTATGTTTTCAGTTCATTTGGGTAAATACTAAGGAGTGAGATTGCTAGATTGTATTGTAAGATCATGTTTACTTTTTTTTTTTTTTTTTTTGAGACAGAGTCTCGCTTTGTTGCCCAGGCTAGAGTGAGTGCCGTGGCGTCAGCCTAGCTCACAGCAACCTCAAACTCTTGGGCTCAAGCGATCCTCCTGCCTCACCTCCCGAGTAGTGGGACTACAGGCATGCGCCACCCATGCCGCTAATTTTTTCTATATATATCAGTTGGCCAATTAATTTTTTTCTATTTATAGTAGAGACGGGTCTCGCTCTTGCTCAGTGCTGTTTGAACTCCTGACCTTGAGCAATCCGCCCGCCTCGGCCTCCCAAGAGCTAGGATTACAGGCGTGAGCCACCGCGCCCGGCCCCTACTTTTGTAACAAATTGTTCAACTATCTTACATATTAACTGTACCATTTTGCATTCCCACCAGCAATGAATGAGAGTTCCTGTTCGTCTACATTTTTGCCAGCATTTGATGTTGTCACTTGTCAGTGTGTCATCAGGTATGTACTGGTTGTTTTAATTTTCAATTCCTTAATGACATATGGTCTTGGCATATTTTCATATGCTTATTGGCATTTGTATATCTTCTTTGAGGAGATATTTGTTCATTTATTTTGCCCCTTTTTTCATTGGTTTGTTCATTTTCTTATTGTTGAATATGAAGAGTTCTTTATATATTTTGGATAAGAATCTTTCATCAGATATATCTTGTGTAAATATTTTCTCCCAGTCTGTGACTTGTCATTTCATTCTTTGTCTTTCACAGAGAGGACATTTTTTGTTTTCAATTTCTGGTTAAAATTTTTTTTTTAAAACACCTCTTTCTTAGTACTATATTTTATAATTGTAATTTACCTTCATGAACATCATTTTTCAACTTGTCGTGGAGGGTGTAGAAAGGTGATAACACGAATGTATGAATTTTTCTACAGTTTATGCTCATCCTTTATCACAATACACAGACTATATTTCTTTTATATTTTTTTGAAAAATTCCAGTGTCCTGTTATGTTATCTTGGTGTCTTGGCATATAATAATGTTTCTTTCAAAGGGGAAGGGGTGCCACAGAATTTATCTTTATGGCTGAACATAATCTAGCAATGCAATGTATTAGCAGGCTAAATTGCCTAGGTCTACCGTGGGGTGTATAAACATTCAGCCTGGTAAACTAATGCTGCTTTGTAAAAGCTCAAGTAGCTTACCCTTGATTTTATTAGAATTCACAATCTTTTCCTCAGTGTATCCTTGTAAAGAACAGAATAGAATTTCCGAATGGCTTACACTGAATATTAAAGGAAAGGAAAGTCGCTGGCAAAGTCAACAGATTCTTTATTTTATGTTCTCTTTCCCTTTGAGTAGTATGAGAAACCCATTCAGGTAGGTTCTCGGCATTCCAGACATGCAGTCTTCCTTGGATGAAGTCCTTTCTCTACAAGTCAACTGCCTTGCTGTCAGCTCCAATGTCAGTCCCTTCAAACCCTCTGTTTCCATAATAAACCCTGACCTGGCATGACCACCTCCTTCATGGTTCAGAAGTCATCGAAGAGACAGCAAAGATCAGAGCTGGGTCTCTCCCGAATGAAGCCACTGACTGTGCCCAATTGTATATAATTATAAGTAGACAACTGTCCTCTTGGGACTCAGCAGAGGCAAAGAGAGATGGATTTCTACCACAGTGTTAAAGCATAAAGGACAGATCCTTATTTTGTAAGCCACCCAGCTGTAGGATTGGACAACCTATCACCACTTAGCATTTGGACAGCAAACTGTTCAAAAATCTATATCCTGTCCAGTGTCACATAGCTGTAGAGAGGGTTGTTTTTCGTTGTTTTTTTTTTCTTTACACCTTTCAGACTAGCTAGCTTTAGTGCCATCTATGTAAAGTTTGTGCTGTTGAACACAGGCAACTTTTGCCCTCAGTGTAAAATTACCATTAGCTGAATCAGCACTCATTCAGGGAGCTTTGGAATCCAGCAATTACAGCTTTTTCAATATCATTCATGGATGTATCCTGTTCAGATTAATATGGAAAATTTCAACCTCTGAGATTTTGAGCACCGGATCGTTTTAGGCACAAATTAAGGCATTTTTAAGGGAAATATGCGGATCTCTGAATTAAACAAATATTAATTCTGAAGTAGAACTAAGGATTGGATTTTGATTAACCATTTTGTTTGGGAAGACTGACATTGGCTCGAAGCTCTGGCTTCTTTCTTGGTCACTGAATGGCTTTGAAATCATGATGCAAATATGCTTCTGGTGCCACAGAGCTAGTTTTGTAGATCAGAACAATATCCTGTTTGGCTTCTCACTGGGCCAGCCCCCACATGCCACCTGCCCCTCTGCTAGGCCTCAGGGCCCCACCACTGTGGAGAACTCTAAAAAGTTCCAACACCCAGGACCACCTGCAACACTGCAAGGCGTTTTGGCACCACTTTGCTGTTGTAGTTGATGATGAACCTTAGTTCAACTGCATAATATTGCAATGATGAGAGAACAGTTTCTGGATGGCTTTTTAGCAATGTAGCTGCTTTACAACTAATGCAAAGGAGAGTGACATTGTTGTCCTTGTTGTTTTTAATGAAGTTTCATTTCTTTATTATTCCTTTAGGACGCTTGACAGGGAGGCACTATACACGTACACACACACACTCACACACATGCATAATATAGTAATCACATTGGGTTTTATTACAAAAATATTGTTAAATGATTTGGTGGATTCAATTAATTTTCAACAAATATTCATTCCCTTTCCCTACCTTTCTGAAAGAAGACTATTTCCCCATCCCATTAATGCCAGACTTGACTAGTAATTTGCTTTGGCTAATGGAATGTGACAGGAAGTGACAGTGTGCTGGTTCTGGGACTAGCCTTAAGAAATATCATATGGTTCTATTTAGCCTCCTGGGACCTTCTAACTTCTCCAGGGGAGAAAAAAATATTCCAGATAGCTGCTGACCATCCAGCCTAATAAGTATACCATAGACCTAAACTTGACCCAAAGCCTAAAACAGAGTCACTCCAAACTGCCCACACAGTAGCAAGAAATAAATGCTTAATTGTTATATTAAATAAATTATTGTGTTTGGAGGTGGTTTGCTATGCGGAATTGTCAATAGCTGATGAATATAAATGTTAATCTACCATTTTGAAAGAATTTTTACTGAGGTATTATTCACAAACTATAGAATTCACCCCTTTAAATTATACAATTCAATGATTTTAGTATATTCACAATGACCATCACAATTTAAGATTAGAAACTTTTCATCAACCCAGAAAGAAGTCTTATACCCATAATCATCACTCTTTACTCTTACCCCCAGCTCTAGGCAGCCACTATTCTAGTTTTATCTCTATAAATTATCCCGTTATGACTTTTCATATAAATGGAATTATAGAATACATGCGGTTTTGTGGCTTGTTTTACTTAGCATAATACTTTCAATGTTCATCCATATATCAATCAATATTCATTCCTTTTCATGGCCAAATAATATTCCATGGTATGGAAATTGCACATTTTATTTATTCATATTTTAAATTTTAACCAAGTCTGTTGAATGGTATTTTTGCAGAAACATAAAGATACTAATTAATGATTATACTGTAGACTATTCTAATAAACTTTTTTTTTTTTAAGAAATGTCATCCTGGTACAGACCCAGGTATTTTTTGATGATATTACAGAGAGATAGAGATAGAGAGAAAGAGAGAGATCAAAATTATTACCATCGCCATTTGCAGTAGCTCACGCCTATAATCCTAGCATTCTGAGAGGATGAGGCAGGAGGATCACTCAAGGTCAGGAGTTCAAGACCAGCCTGAGCAAGAGTGAGACCCTAGCTCTACTAAAAATAGAAGGAAATTAGCTAACAACTAAAAATATATAGAAAAAATTAGCCGGGCTTGGTGGCACACGCCTGTAGTCCCAGCTACTCAGGAGGCTGAGGCAGGAGGATTGCTTGAACCCAGGAGTTTGAGGTTGCTATTAGCTAGGCTGACACCACGGCACTCTGGCCCGGGGAACAGAGACTGTGTCTCAAAAAAAAAAAAAAAGTTATTAGCTTATATTCTAAGATATTATGCTCAGAAATAAACTATATATATTGAACATCCCAACTTCTCTTAAACAACTTAATATTTTCTGTCAACGACTGATTTAGTTAACCCTTTTGTGATGTAGTTATATTGTTATTCTGTAGCCCGTCTCAAATTTATTTTATTGTTTTGGAGATTTAGGTAGTGGAATTGGTCTTTATTTTCCTATTAAATATTATCACAAATACTGTTAGTACGTTTCAGTTCTCCCGTGACAAAGGCTTACCCGGATGTTAACACTATGGAATTCTGGGGGTAAAGGTGTTGTACTAGAAATTATAGGGATAATCCTGGTTCCATCTCCTACTAGATGTTTGAGGGTGGATCATTCAGATACTTATGATGTATAATTTATAATTAAGGAAGGTTGAGAGCCCCTGAGTACAGCTGTTTTGGCGGATACCAGACCCTAACCTTCCTGAACAAGGATGTCGCCAGCAAGTTGCTGGCTGTGACTACCCCTGGATGGATGAATTAAGCTGGATTCCTTATAAACTGTGCTTACCTTTCTTTAATAGCAGTTAATGATTAACCTTAATGGCCTGACCTCAAGACAATGCTGGTAACATATGGGGTTTTTGAACACTTAAAAATGTTAACTATTGCCACATTAGGGGTTCCCTTTCTGCTTGGGAAAAGATCCCTACTTTGTCTATGGTGTAGGATCTCTTGTCTGTCTCTCAATAAACTTTCTGTTATTGGTTGGCTCGTTCTTGAATTCTTTCCAGTAGGAATCCAAGAACCCACTTGGCAAGTTCAAGAGAGAAGGAGCTTTCCTTCTTTCATTGGGGTACCCCTTGCATCACTTACAGCTTCCAAAAGAATAGCTGGTATTTACCAAGCACTTATCATGTGTCAATAAGCAATGTTCCCATGTATTTTCCCATTTGTTCCTCACAACAACCTTATGTGTAAGGAACCATTAATATTCCCATTTCAAAGAGGAAGAAACTGAGCCTAAGAGAAATGATCTGTCCAGAGTGAAAACCCATAACTTGTATTTAGAAAACTTTGATTCCCAACCCAGCACTAGTTGCAACTGGCCATAAATGTTTCTCAATCACCTTTCACCTATCTGTGAAATGTATGTAATTCCTATGTGATCTTTACAGCAGAATATGAATTATAAAGAAAGATTAGGATAGCAAGGAATAGACACATATTACCTTCAGTGATGGGCTTTGTCTAGCTATATACAGGGGAAGGGAAATGAGAGAAAACAAATGATCAACTCTACAGTCACTCTTTGTGATTTCACCGTGCAATCAATCTGGGTCTCAGAAACTTTCTTGCCTGGGACATACCATAGATCTCATAGGAAATTGGCAAAATAGTTTGTCGTCATTTAGGATATATTCTGGGCACCGATCTCTTCTGAATGTTCCTGTTTTTTCCC